TATATATATATATATATATATATATATATAGAGGGTAGAAAGACCCAGTTGTGCAACTCAAAGATCATGCACCACACTCAAGGTGAAATACACACCATATTACAGCAACAAGTACTGTTGCAACTGTGGTGGACACTGCTATAGTCAGATGCATATACTTCAAAAGGCAGTCTGAATAATTCAATAGCAACCAGCTGGAAGAAGCCATAAGAAACTACTAAAAATGAAGTACTAAAACTTACAGAAGCTCTCTTTGAATCCTTTAAAAGAATGGCCAACAAACAACATGTTTTTGTGAAAATGCTTCCACCTTTCTCTGAAGTTTTGTCACCAGCCTTTTCTCTGTACATCTGCAGTAGGTCCAGTAATGTATCTACAGAATTTTCCACTTCATAAACTGCTTGAGTAGTTCTTTCATACTTAAAAGGAAGACAGAAAAGCTGATGTAAACAGGTCTCAAATATAGCCCTATCAAGCTCTAAGAAAATAAAGACTACTCTCATTCAGGCCAACCAGGTGATATTTTTATTATGTGGATTGCAGTTCAGATGAAAATTCATTTCTGGGCATTAAGCTACAGTGCCAAATTGCCCTATGATAAATTTTTCTAAAACTTTTTTCTAGAAACTGGGACAGCAGAGGTACATATTGTGCTCTCAGATTACTTAGCCAACTACAATGCAGTTCAATTGTCTAACCAAGGTTTTATCCTTTTAAAATCATGCAAGCCTACAAAAAATATTAAAAATCAGTTTGATTAAAATATACTATTTTTGTAAGGAAAATATTCACTTAGGAAAATGTATTAGACTTGAATTCTAAACATTTTACTGGTTTCAGCACATCACATATGAATGACTGTTTCATAGATCTATATGTTTGTATTATATAGCAAACACTCAAGTTAGTACATATAAAATTCGCTGGTTTTGCAAAATTTCCATCCAAAAACTAGATCTGTAAATAGAACTAATACACCTCCAACCCAAAGTTGTGCTGAGTTAGCTTTAAATAATAATTTCTTATAGAACTGTTGATATCATCTATAGATGTGTCCCCGCCACTCAGATTTTAGTTCGAATAAAATAAATTCATTGAAAGCCGTGATTAAAATTAGACTATTTTATAGGATGTAATAATTGTTCACATTAAGAAAAATAATTTGATGATCTGATTCAAAATAATTTGGCATAATTGGTTTTAAAGTCAGGAAAAGGTTTTTTTTTTTTTTCCCAAAACTAGCTGTTATTACATTGGATAAATTCATGCTAATCTCTTTGGATAAATGTAAATATCTGTAAATTAGACAGTCCACAACTTATGAGACTTCAAAAGCAAAAACACTGAAATACCTTTGAAACATTAAGCAGGACTTGAACTGAATATTTGATAACTTCCATACAGGGGATACTGCGGTTGCAATTCCGGATCAGAATAAAAATAGTGAAGATTGCTCCGCTCTGGGCCATATTTTCACAACAAAGAGGGGAGAGCCTGGTAACAACCTCTAAAATAAAAGGGTTCATTTGTGAATGCTAATCAAGTTATTTTCAAACAGTAACATTTTTCTTTATTAGGCTTGGCAAATACATTAGAACAAAAACAAAATCAGTTTCAAGCCATGTTTTTAAACTAGGATTTTGAACATTCCGTCAAGACAAAGGTATCCAGCGTATCTGACACTGCATATCAGGTGAAATTAAAAGTAAGTAGGACTTCCTTTATGCCTTAAATGTAGTAAGTAGTACTGCTGGGCATGGGGAAGCCAAGAAGTAGAATAATGTATTCATGACTACATTCTGATGTAGTTCTTTAAGACAGCTTGTTATCAGTGCCATATTCGATTCAGAAGGAAATGGCTTTGCATACTGTTGTGTCCTCTAACTTTGTCACTTTTCCCAGTTGTACTGTAAGCTTGAATATAATCATGTGCTCCCCTTTCTCAGAAGTTTGGGAGTCCACTGCTGTCTTGAGTGCGCCCAATTTTTAATTACGAAAAGAAACTACTAACCTAGATGTTTTAACGCTGCAAGAATGTAAGAAATATGTTTGTATTTTAGGAGATAGTCAATGGCAACTGCAGTTCTGTTACAGAGTTTGTTTTCTTCTTTGCTCTCTTTGTTAGCCATTTCCAAACTGCATCGTAACGCTTTAGTTTTTGCTGTGTCATTTTTCTTCCTCCAAGAATATCCTCTCCACAATGCCTGAGAGAAAACATGGCAGAAAGACTTAACAAATGGAGAAAAGATTTACAAGAAAGAGTTGCTCTAGGATAGACTATTCATTAGAATCTCAAATCAACCTTATATGAGTTTAATAAAATTTTAGTCTCAAAATACTTCAATTGTAGAATTCTAAGTTATAAGCCTATGATCAGATATAATATTCAGTCCTCTGAATACTAGATTCCCAGTTCAAAAATACATCTGTCAGAAATAGCATCTCTTACTATTACTTGATGGCTAGTTGGTATTTAGCTTTCCAATCTAGTATTCATCTTTAAAAAAACAAAACAAAACATATATTATATATAAAAAAGAAGCAGGCTTTTTAAAGAACTATAAAATAGCAGACATGAGCAAAATGGAATTCCCTTATGAGAATTCATATACCTGAAATTTAATTATTCCATTCTTCAGCTTTCTTCTGTGTTTGTAGAAAAGGAATTTTCGTACAGCTCTTTGGATTGTGGTTGCAGCCTCATTTCTCTGTTTCAGCCATCTTCGAACCATTCGCTGTATTTTAATGATTTTCTGATGATCCTGTAGACTTTTTTTTTGTTTAAGTCTTGCTCGAAACCACCTCTGTTTAAGATAAATGGGCGTTTTTAAAAGACAAATTAAGCTTGCTTTCTTTTCCCGATACCACCACACATGCATGTATGCACACACTTCTTGTAACTTCAAAATTGATAGAGTAAGGACTAAAATCTGAATTTATCAAGGATTTAACTGATGCAAAGCCAGGAACTGAACACCATGCTAGCAAAGGTGCAGCTTCGAAGGGGCTGGGATCACCTAAATAAGGTGGGGAAGTGTACCACTGGACTGGACTGTGGTGGTAGTAATGGGGCTGGGTGATTAGCGCTCACTTGGCAGAGGTGGATGGGGAAAGAAGTTGCTAGCCCCATCCTTAATCCAGTTGCAGGGTCTCCTTTGATGCTGGGGACTAGGCTGATCACCAGTTTTGGGGTCTGGAAAGGATTTTTCCTATATAGTAAATTTGCCTGTTTTGGCATGTGGATTTTTTTCACCTTCCATTTAGCAGCCTGCGTCTTGTTTTGGGGAGATTAAATTAGTTGTCTCAATTTAGGCAAGTCCCTGTGTGATTGGTTGGGTTAGAACAGGGTAGTCAATAGGTAGACTGCAGGCCAAATCTGGACTACCAGATGCTTTTGAACAGACCGTGAAATCTTTTTATTTACTTATTATCATTATTGTTATTATTTTCTCTGGAGTCTGGACCTTGACCAAGAAGTTTGAATCTTAACAAAAAATAATTGATTACCCCTGGGTTAGAAAGTGTCCAAATAAGGTCCCTGTAACCTAGTTGGGGTTGTTTACACATTGGTCCTGAGCATGCTATTGCATGTTTAAGGGATATCACTCCATGTCTCATGCAGCTTGTGATTCCCCTTCATCTTATCTCTCCTCCCTCCAGCATAGAGAAGGGAGTGGGTCAGGACTCTGGTTTCCAGTCAGGGTCACTAGCAGGCCTGAGAGTGTAGAGGGGGCATGGCCTTCACATCCACAATGGGGCCACTGGTGACAGTTGATGACAGCACTGCAACAACCCTGCTGGATAGTTTAGTGATTACTCCAGTTAGGTAATAGTTGAAGAGAATGAGTAGTGTGCAACAGCTCCTTCCTCCCAATAATGCTAACCTGAACACATAGGACGGAAGAGATCTGCATTTGTGCATGTTTCAATACAAGGTGAATTCTGAATGCTCTCTGAATTTTAATAGCAGAGAGATGATGATATGCAGCAGCTGAAAAACAAAGCAGCCGCTTCTTCTGTTTCTGGTCTAAAATCTGTAGAAAGAAAAACAGAGTCAGGAAACAGCATTAGTAATCAAATCGAAAGTTAGTCTTTGCTACATCATCATCATAACTCAGAAATGGAGTTACAAAAAAAAAAAAAATAGCAGGGGTTAGTGTAATGTCTGAAACAGAGTTTTTCACTGTAGCTTAACTCCTAATCAATCTTATATATTTTTAATGTCTATGTAGTTATAATCACTTAAAAAGACACTTACCTTTTTTCTCACTAGCCACCCTCGGAAAAATGCTTGCAGTTTAATAGCAGCTTTTCTAGTTTTGATGTATTTTATGCATTCAAGTCTTCCTTCTTGCCTAGCTCGTATATGTTTCTGGATGACCAAAGCAGCAGCTTTTTGTTGATGAAACTTGTGTCTTTCTTTGAAGCCTCTATAAGCTGCCTGAATCAAACATGCAGCCTGCTGCTTCTAGAAGATAAATTGTGTGTTGATAGTCAAGTGCACTTTTTCTTGTCATAGTGGAAGTACGTTAGGTTTTCATGTTTATTGTGTTACCATCTATTGCAGGGGTGGGCAAACTTTTTGGTCCAAGGGCCACATTGGGGAATAGAAATTGTATGGAAGGCCATGAATGCTCATAATATTGGGGTTGGGGTGCAGGAGATGGGGTGGGCTCTGGGGGGGTGGGGCTGGGGATGAGAGGTTTGGGGTGCAGGAGGGTGCTCCGGACCAGTACCAAGGGGTTTGGAGAGCAGGAAAGGGATCAGGGCTGGGGCAGAGGTGCGGGAAGGGGTGCAGGCTCTGGGGTGGGGTGGGGCTGGGGATGAAAGGTTTGGGATGCAGGAGGATGTTCTGGGCTGGGACTGAAAGGTTTGGAGAGTAGGAGGGGGATCAGGGATGGGGCAGAGGGTTGGGACGTCGGGAGAGGCTCGGGGTGCAGGCTCCAAGCGGCGCTTACCTCAAGCGGCTCCCGGAAGCAGTGGCATATCCCTTCTCCAGCTCCTACGCAGAGGCGCAGCCAGGCGGCTCTGCGTCCTGTCCCATCCGCAGGCACCGCCCATGCAGCTCACAGTAGAGCATGTAGGAGCCGGCGCGGGGCCATGACGCAGCTTCCAGGAGCCGCATGGTGCGGCCCCACCTGGAGCACTGGAGTGGAGCCAAGCCGTGTGGTGCGGCCCCAGATCCAGCGCCCTGGCTGGAGCTGGGCCTAGCCGCATGGTGCAGCTCACGGGTCGGCTTAAAACGGCCCATGGGCCGTAGTTTGCCCACCCCTGATCTATTGTAAGGTGGAAAGAAGTGGCCATGGATCAAAAATAAAATGAAGGTGCCACTAAATTTCTTACTTAAATTCAACTCAGCAAGTCAATCAGCATTCATTAATAGCAGTAGGAATTTTCCCAACTTAGAGGCTTTTTCCCTCCTTAAAGGACTTAAAAATGTTGGCAGTGGATTTTATTTTAAGCAGGTTGGCCATGATGGCAATAGACCATTTTGACATTTATTTAAAGAGCAGGTCTTATTGTTATCAGTATAGATTAGGCAAATGCAATATTTGGCATAGTTTAAGTGACTGGGATCTTGTTTGCTCTCAAAGTAAAAGGAAACCTGAACCTTTAGGGAAATGGGAGAGTTCAAAAAGGGGCGGGGGGGGGAACAACTCTGATATATTTCTTAGGTATCAGTCACAACTCAGTGCAATCTTAGTTCTAGTTTTACTTCTCTTTTCCCCTTCCATACTTAATATTTTGGTGACAAACTTTTTTTTTAAATAGCAGCAAGTATTATAAGTAGGGCTGTCAAGCGATTAAAAAATTAATCTCAATTAATCGCACTAACAATAATAGAATACTGTTTATTTAAATATTTTTGGATGTTTTCTACATTTTCAAATATATTGATTTCAGTTACAACACAGAATACAAAGTGTATAGTGCTGACTTTATATTTGTTTTTTATTACAAGTATTTGCACTGTAAAAAACAAATAGTATTTTTCAATTCATCTAATACAAGTACTGTAGTGCAATCTCTTTATCATGACAGTTGATCTTACCAATGCAGAATTATGTACAAAAAAAACTGCATTCAAAAATAAAAAAATGTTGAGCCTGCAAGTCCACTCAGTTCTATTTCTTGTTCAGCCAATTGCTCAAACAAGTTTTTACACTTGCAGAAGATAATGCTGCCCCCTTCTTGCTTACAACGTCACCTGAAAATTAGAACGGGCGTTCGCATGGTACTGTTGTAGCCGGCGTCGCAAGATATTTACGTGCCAGATGTGCTAAAGATTCATGTGTCCCTTCATGCTTCAACCACCATTCCAGAGGACATACGTCCATGCTGATGATGGGTTCGTCTCGATAACAATCCAAAGCAGCATGGACTGACGCATGTTCATTTTCATTATCTGAGCAGAAGGTTGATTTTTTTTTTTTGGTGGTTCTGTAGTTTCCGCATTGGAGTGTTGCTCTTTTAAGACTTCTGAAAGCATGCTCCACATCTCGTCCCTCTCAGATTTTGGAAGGCACTTCAGATTCTTAAAACCTTGGGTTGAGTGCTGTAGCTATCTTTAGAAATCTCACATTGGTACCTTCTTTGAGTTTTGTCAAATCTGCAGTGAAAGTGTTCTTAAAATGAACAACATGTGCTGGGTCATCATCCAAGACTGCTATAACATGAAATATATGGCAGAATGTGGGTAAAAGAGCAGGGGACATACAATTCTCCCCCAAGGAGTTCAGTCACAAATTTAATTAACGCTTTTTTTTTTTTGAAAAAGCGGCAACAGCATGGAAGCATGTCCTGTGGAATGGTGGCTGAAGCATGAATGTTTAGCATATCTGGCACGTAAATACTTTGCAATGCTGGCTACAAAAGTGCCATGCAAATGCCTATTCTCACTTTCTGCTGACATTATAAATAAGAAGAGGGCAGCATTATCTCCTGTAAATGTAAATAAACTTGTTAGTCCTACTTCTTGTTCAGCCAAACGCTAAGACAGAGTGGACTTGCAGGCTCTGAAGTTTTACATTATTTTGTTTTTAAGTGCAGTTACGTAACAACAAAAATCTACATTTGTAAGTTGCACTTTCATGACAAAGATTGCATTACAGTACTTGTACGAGGTGAATTGAAAAATACTATTTCTTTTGTTTATCATTTTTACAGTGCAAATATTTGTACACCTCTACCTGATATAACACGAATTTGGATATAATGCGGCAAAGCAGTGCTCCGGAGGGGCGGGGCTGCGCACTCTGGTGGATCAAAGCAAGTTCAATAGAACGCAGTTTCACCTATAACGCAGTAAGATTTTTTGGCTCCCGAGGACAGCGTTATATCGAGGTAGAGGTGTAATCAAAAATATACACTTTCAATTACAACACAGAATACTATATGAAAATGTAGAAAAACCATCCAAAGTATTTAATAAATTTCAATTGATATTCTACTGTTTAAGAGTGCAATTAAAACTGATTAGTCGCAATTAATTTTTTAATCGCGATTAACTTTTTTTGAGTTAATCGTGAGTTACTGTGATTAATCGACAGCCCTAATTAAAAGTAAAGCAGATAACAACAGCTACAGTGAAGAATTACTGTGTTCCCTTGTTAACTTCAATGGGACTATTCAAAGTGTCGAAAGTTAAGCACACTCTTAAGTCTTTGCTGATAGTGGACTTCACTTTGGCATTTTCTGACTTAAGTACTTCTATTTTCAACTTAAACATTTTCTTTAGGAAAAATTAACTTGAATAAAAGTAGTTATATATCAAAAGTGAAGAACAGGCTCACTTTTTAGAGAGAAAGCTAAATTATTGGCCGAGTACATTACACAAGTTTAACATTACACTGAAAATATTTAACATTCAACACCACCCCGTCTTAGCTGAATTTAAGAGTGAAAATACCTTTTTAATCTGTTTCCTAGTACTGTATCTTCTGTAACCTGATTGAATCTTAACTGCAGCTTCCTTGGTTGCTAGGAATTGTAGCAGAATTGTTTTTGCAGTAAGGGTTTCTCTCCATCTCCTCTGAATAGTAACTGTGGAGGCCTTCATTTTCAAAAACCTAATGCAAATGAACATTTTAGCTTTTCTAAAAAAGACTCATGAGTTTTAAAAAATGAAAAAAGTTTTCATTTGCATTTATTTATTGCTATCAGCAGAAGATTAGCAAGATAAGTGGCATTCATTGGAAAGTTATCAAGTCCATAGAAATTTTGGTACGTACACACACACACACACACACAGGCCCACCTCTTAAGGCTCAAGACTAGTTAAAGTCAATGGAAACATGAATCATTGGAGTAAACGAGTAAAAAGTGACTTGAGAAATTTTAGATCTTGTCTCAAGACAAATAAGTAGAAAACAAAAATAAGTTTTACTTTGGAGCAGGATACTAGAACTTTAATTAAAATAGAAAAAATGAAACCAAGTTTTTCATTCGGGAGTTTTCAAAACTCAAACATAACTCTTGAGAAGAAAGCAGCGTAGTAAAACTAAACTTCACATATGGAGATGAAAGCAGGTAAAGCATCTGCAGCTGGCTCTCCCCTTCTGTCTTTCCAAGATTAACAAACACAAAACTCACACCAAATACAAAGATTAAGCCCCAACCCTCAAAGATGTAAACATGTGAATAACTTTATGCACATTAGCCACAAGGAGTCAATGGATTACTCGTACTTGAGTCTTTGCAGAATCAGGGCCTAAGAGAGGACAGAGATTTGCCAGACTACAAAACAAGATTAAGTTATGAAACAATAAATAGCTCAAGACCATGAAAAGATGTGCGTCACACAACAATAGTACATTACCAGGTCCTCTGCCGTTTGCTTTTGAAATAACCTTGAATGACACAAGTAGCTTTTACCACAGCTGTATATTCTTTTCGTGCTCTGTATCTTCTGAACCAGGCTTGAATTGTTCGTGCAGCTCTCATTTTACCAGCCAACTGCCTGGCTTTAAAACCCCTAAATAAAGCCTATCAAACAAAAAAAAACAAACAAACAAGCAATTAATTTTGTATTTAATGGCACAAACTAGGAAACGCCCCACTTCTCCAATTAGTCACTTCTGCCTGAATGTCTTTTTTAAATCTTATTGTTACAAGTTGCACACAAGATTACTAGAAAGGGGGGTGGGGGAAATCTTGTCAGTTTCTTTACTATAGCACTTTGTGTATAGTCAGTTTCTCCTGCACACAGCAAGAGAGAGAGAGAGAAAGTAGAAGCTGGGGAATACTACACACACTTCCATCAATGTAAGTTTCAGCAAGAAAAAAAAATCCCAAAATGAATAAAGATAAAAGTTACAGATTTTAAAGATAATGGTGGAACAACCTGAAACCTAACTGCAACTACTTTGATTTGAAGCTGTTTTTGTTGTTCAATATTTCAAAGGTGATGGGCTCAGTAGCACTGCTGTATTTACAGAGTTGGAAACTTGTAGTTAAGGTATTGTTGTCTCTAACTAAATCCATGGTAAATCCTAGCATATTTTAGTTTATACTGTACTTTTTTTTCTGCTCTTACCATAAACTGTGGCTCTACTCACCAATTTCACTTTTTGTAAGTGGCCAATCAAATTATTTCTGCATCTATATTATGGGAATTTGGGATGCTGAGGATCTCCCACCTTACGCGCTCTCTGTTTTGAAGGCAGAAGCCCAGTCACCTGTCTAGGTACACTTGCACATTAGTAAGAAGTGAGGTTAGATAAGGCAGCAGAAACTATCTCAGGCACTCCAGCAACTGAAAAATAAATGGGAGGGTTTCCCCCTTCTCCCAAACAAAAAATCTGGAACATTATAAGAAACCCTAAAACTCCTACTCCCCTTTTTGGGCTGTGCAGGAGAAGGAAATGTAAAAAGGGCAAGGCGTATCTTGGCACCCCCTACTCCAGGAAGCTACGGCAGTCCAAGGAGAAATCCCCTGTCCCCCAAAACAAGATAGCTAAGGGGACTAGGGAAAAAAATCATTTGCAACTCTTCCCACAAACAAACAGCCTATGGGAGTAGCAAGAGACATACCCAACCAAAAAGAGTGGGAAACACCAGAAGGGAGCTCAGAGGACCAGTTACTGTGAACCCACTGGTTAGTTCCTCACTACAGTCTGTGGAGCCAAGAGCAGTGCTCTCTACTTTCTCCCAGCAGCCCTTTGACCTGTCACAGAGGGACGGAAGACTGGGTTTCTGAGTGTTTCTCCTCAAATTCCTAGACATATCTCTGGATTCATGGACCACACCTTCTTCCCTCTGATGTTCGGCTGCCTCCCATCCACTCTTGAAAAATATAAATCTCTATATAGAGATTATATATATATATATATATATATATATATATATA